ACCAGCGGCCAATTTCCACTCTTTGAGGGTGTATTTACAGGTAAAGCAGTGGAAGGGATACCACTGTGACTTGTCTGAAGTATTGCAATTAGGATGGAAATTAAACGATGAAAGGCTGACTCCTATTATGACAGACAAGCCCGCCGCACCAGAGAACTTAATTCGCATCATGAGATATAATTGTGCAACAGACTGCAGTACCCGCCGCTGCAGCTGTCGAAAGAACGGTCTAGAGTGCTCACCCGCATGTGGCCATTGCAGAGCTACCAGTTGCACCAAGTCCTGTATAGAAGAGCCCGAGGCAGATGATAACGAATACTTTTAAATTGAACATGGCATCCTTTTAACAATTGTAATCATTTATCTTATTTCAAATTAAAAAGTATATTGTTGCTTTTTATTGCTGGAATCGATTGTATAGAAAGGAAGGATAGCACTATTCAGYAGATAAATCCTTATCTAGTGGATAAAAATCCTTGTCCAATAGATAACTTTATCTTACCTTGTTGCAACCGATCAGTAGAGCTATTGTTATCGAGTCACAAGAAAATATAATTATTCTGTTTGAAGTCCATATTTGCATTTTAATATCACATCTGTTGTGTTATTGTATAAGAAATTGAAATTAAAAGTAAATTAGTATTTAATCTACCGTTTTTATACAAAAATAAAGCTACTTCCGGTTTTATCCTCGTTTTCATGCTAAAGCATTCGAGTGAAATAAAAACATGCAATTTTAGCACTGTTTGCACACTCAGAATTTTGCCGATTTTTTTGACATCATTCGTGAGGTCATCTAGAAYAATTCTAYGAAGAAAAAGCTTCTGTTGCAATTAGTTGCATGTTGAGATCTAATTTGACTGGACTAAAGAGCTAAATCAACGCGAAATGAACAGGACTGGAAACGATTCAAAGATTTGCGAAAACTGGTCAAATCAAAACTCAAAGAGGCCCATGATAAATATGTCCTCGACCTGCTTGACGAATCAAAAAGATCTAATGGAGATTTTGCAGTTGGCAAAAATTTTTGATCGTATGTTAAGTCTATCAAAAAAGATCATGTTGGAGTTGGAGTCATAAAACATCACGACATTGAATTTGTAGACAACGCTAAGAAAGCAGAATTATTTAGTGACCATTTCTGCTCTGTATTCACCAAGGAAGACACCAGCACTATACCGACGTTAGAGCAAGATGGACATCTACAATATAGAGAAATTCAACCATTATCGTTTGATGAAAATGGAATAATCAAATTGTTAAAGAACATCGATACAAAGAAGGCCAGTGGTCCAGATGGAATTTCATCCTGGGTCCTTAAAGCAGCCGAAGAAATTGCACCATATCTCTGTTTTCTATTTGATACCTCAATGAAATCCGTTCAAATCCCTATGGATTGGAGAATGGCAAACGTTATTCCAGTCTTCAAAAAAGGAGACAAAAGGGACGTAAGAAATTACAGACCAGTCTCATTAACATCAGTAATTTGCAAGATTATGGAACATATCATCTTTCATCATATAATGGTGCATTTTGACACCCATACGATACTTGTTGATTATCAACATGGATTCCGCAAAGGTTATTCATGCGAGACGCAACTAATCAATGTTATTGATAAAGTTGCTAGGAATCTTGACAATGGGAAACAAACTGATCTTCTGCTTCTAGATTTTACCAAAGCATTTGACACCGTGCCACACCAACACCTACTTGGAAAAATCGACTTCTATGGAATTCGTGCAGATTTAAAAGCCTGGCTTAATACATGGCTCACCGATCGATCCCAAAGAGTTGTTGTAAATGGGGAATCTTCACTCTGCTCCAAAGTCACATCAGGTGTTCCWCAAGGYACGGTACTCGGACCGCTGATGTTTTTAATATACATCAATGACATTGGTAAACGTATAACATCCAATCTCGGTCTATTTGCTGATRACAGCATCCTTTATGGAGTTATTAACGACAGAGGAGATTYTATATCTCTCYAGGAAGACCTKAATAAGCTTGGYGATTGGTCATTAGAATGGCAACTGGGATTCAATACTGATAAATGCTCAATTCTTCGTATTCATCGCAAACACAATCCTATTGAATATCAATATACTCGTCATGGCAAACAACTGAAATCAGTGAAACATCATAAATATCTTGGCGTCGAGGTGGATAACAAATTGACTTGGAACAATCATATATCGGATGTAGTTTGAAAAGCAAATCGATCACTCAGATTCCTCAGACGTAATCTAAATCATTGCCCCATGGAGGTAAAGGAGCGGGCTTATTTCGCTTTAGTGAGACCTAAGTTAGAATACGCTAGCAGTGTATGGGATCCCCACCTCAAAAAAACATGTCAATAGTATCGAGGGAGTACAGCGCAGAGCTGCAAGGTTTGTCAAAGGTTGCTATGAAAGATCCACAGGAACAGTTTCGAGAATATTGGAAGAATTGAAATGGCCATCATTACAACAGAGAAGAAAGCAAGCCAGAATGGTTATAATGTTTATGATAGTTAATAATCAAATGAAGTTAAAGCTGCCACCCTATGCTCAACTGAAGCAAAGAAAAACTAGACAATACCACGCTAGCAAATTTATAAACATGGGCAGCAAAATAACACTTACAAAAACAGTTTTATAATAAAATCTATTAAGGAATGGAACACTTCATGATAGCACTTCATTAGCTATATTTAAATCAAAAATAGCCAATCCCAAATTATAAAGAATATTTTTATTGTTATTTATATATTTATATAGTGTATATTTTGTATTATTAATTCTATCATTTTTATATTTGTATATAGTGTATATTTTGTATTGCCAATCCCATTATTTATTTATTTATTTATTTATTTTTCTTACTTCTTATGTTATGTATCTGCTAGATGTGCAAACTTTGCAGATTATTAAATTTAGATTTAGATTTAGATCTTGGGCTCATAAAAAGGCCTTGCCGACAGATCAAACAAAACACCCTTTGATAGTCCAAGTCTGTAGAGCATCGGACGTGTCTGCTCAAGGCCAGTTAATAAGAAGAAACCCTTATCATCAGCAAATGTGAGGGACATTGTTATGAAGTATGGCTTACCAGGAGCTTCCTTGAGAGATTTGCAGGGAGTCATGATTGTTCTTTCAGGCTTTCTTGGTTTTCTGCGTTGGAGTGACCTTTCGAAAATTCGAGCTAGGGGAATTTGCTTTCAAAAGGACATATGACAATTCTCTTAGAGAAACGCAAGAATGACCAGTTCCACAAAGGAAATTAWGTGTACCTTAGTCAAATGGAAGGTGTAGCATGTCCAATGTCTATTGTGCGACGCTACTTGCTGCATGCTAACATTTCAAGTGGTTGGTTACTTGATCTGTTATGAAGGTAGTAGGAAGAAAGTGTCTGGTGACAAGCTGAAGTATGCCTCAGCAAGACAACTTGTCCTTAAAATGTTCAAGGGTATTGGCCTAAATAGTGATGAGTATGGATTACATAGCCTCCGGTCAGGTGGCGCAACCTCAGCGAATGAAAGAGGAGTGCCAAGTCGTCTGATTGCAAGCCATGGAGGATGGAGAAGTTACAAATCTCAGGATGGTTATATTAGAGATGGGGATGAGGCCCTTCTTTCACTATCGAGGGCGATCTTTTGACAGTCTACCTATGCTTGACATTTAGTGTGGCCTTTGAGCCTGGACCAGTCTAGGCAACTATGTTTGTTGTTTGTCATGACTTAATTATGAATGAACAATAGGAATTGTATTTCTCTTGGAATGAACAACGAGTTCCGAGTTGGAATGGAGAGAGAAATATGTTTCTATGTGAGAGAGTGGCCTGGAACTAGTATGTTTATGTGTTATAATGCTATATAAGGAGGTGTCAGGAATTCTGAAATTAGTGTGGTCCAAGCTCTGTAGAAGTTGGCTATTTAAAGTTGTACAACTTGTTCTACATGTATATTTGTATTAAAGTGTGGCCTTTGAGCCTGGACCAGTCTAGGCAACTATGTTTGTTGTTTGTCATGACTTAACTATGAATGAACAATAGGAATTTGTAGATATATTTTTTATATTGGAGAGCTATATGTGGTACAATCAGCCAGGGGCAAATCTCTCACGGGATGCTTCAAAACCAACCATATCCAGAGTGCTCTAATCACAGGAAAGGAAAGGATTGGCTGCAAATTCATGAGGGGTAAATTTTAATACCCCAGGTAAAACCCAAACACTGTTTGATTGCAGCACATATAAGCCGAACAGATTTGTAGTAAAAGAGAAGAAGTTAGAAGTTAAAACTGAGATGTACAGGCAAGTGTGAATACAGCAGTTATAACAATAAAAGAACTCAAAAAACAGAGCAACGAATCCACGCTTGCTAACAATATGACTTT